CGGGCTCATGATTTGGACTTGGAAGTTGATTCCAGGAAGAGCGTGCTCATGCACATCGGGCACGGTAAAAGTTACTATTGTACTATTGATGGTACATCTCTTCCACGCGTTCAAGAACATAAAGACTCAGAAGTAATAATAAGTCATGACCTGAAAACTACTACGCACTGCAACGCAGCTACTTCTAAAGGTTATCGTGCGTTGTGGTCAGTTTACCGAGCATTCAAATGCTTTGACGAGGAGATGTTTCGAATTTTATATCCCACCTAATTAAGACCATACTTAGAGTACTGTATCCAAGCAGCTAGCCCATGTCTGATAAAGGATACTAAATCACTTGAGCGTGTCCAGCATGTGGGGAGGAAATAAGTGAGGGGTCTTTCTAAACTTCCTTATGACGAGCATTCGAAATGTCTAAACCTTTTCCCCTTGTCTTATCGTAGGACACAAGGTGACATTATGCTGGCATTTCGTATCTTTACATATGATTTAGGTGTTAATATGTCCTATCTTTTTTCTCCCTCTAGCACTGATACTCTCTGAGGTCATAGCAAGAAGGTTCAGAAACCGCAATCTAATAAACCAAAGGTAAAGTCCCGTATTTCTCATCTAGTGGTCAATGACTGGAACGCATTACCAGAACAAGTGGTATCAGCCCCATCAGTGAACATTTTCAAGGAGAAGATGGACCTTCACTGGAAGGCAATCTGTCAGGATTAACACAAGTTTACCAACTTATTTTCATTATTGCTGAAGACTGATTTAAATGATGCTTTCTCTTAACGAGCTCACATGTCCAGTAACACTGAATCACTGGTATCTCTAGACACGAACCTAGGCATATAAAAAAACGAAAAGTGAAAAGAAATGGTTGATATGTCTGAGTTGACATGCCAAGTCCTTAACAACATATTAATTTTCCACCTGAAGAACGAGGAAGTTTCACAGACCACTTCAGTTACTAGACAGTTACTAGACTTAACTATTCGTAAATAGTAGACAGTATGCTGACAACCGAACCTTGTATTCTACATTTTTGGCCCCGATCCACAAACTGATAACTTGAAGAATCGATCGATTTAATATACGATTACGGTAAAAGCATCAGAATATGTGTTCGGTTTAATTTATCTCATTTTATGCAGGTATCATACCTTGTATTTCTTCCACTGGATGATGAACAAGTCCTATGTACAATCGTCCAAGACCAAATCATTCTATAGATATCACAGGTAGCGTAGTTGATCTTTTCTCATTTCTCACAGCGAGAATATATTTATCATATTATAAACAAAGGGCTGGTGTACAGATTTTCACACTGAGCCATCAACTCTTGGAACCTGTTACCCGAGGCAGTCGTGTCCTTACCTTCAATTGACTCACTCGAGAGAAGACTGAACACTCATAGAAGCAAAATGGGCCATACATAGGCCATAGGCCTTCTGTCCTTACAACATAAGTTTGAATGTGAACAAACATGTCTTTAAAGGTATGATCGGAGACTAAACTTCAGCAAGTGTTCTATGAAATCCATAGAGAGGTTTATTGATCCAGTTTTATGTTACATATAAACCGCATATATCCTAAAGAGTATAGATCTATTGTGTGTAGACATTTCACCGATCATTAGAGCTTAGTGTCAAGTACCAGCTTTGTGTTTTGTCTCTTGATACTTTCCGAAACATTTTTATCTCCCGGAATGAAAGAAGGGGCTATGAGTTTGAGCTTAATATCCTAGGTTAAAAATGAAACTGAATGTTGGATATGGACTATGAACTTTACCTTAGCAGTTCCCAGCTGCTTGACACAAATAAATCATCTATCAGAGGTGATGGGGTCATACATTAGGAATCTTTTTCTCTCAGATCTCAAGATTTCTCATCCTCTAGGACAAGAGTCTCGGGCGTATTATAGTTCAGAAGAGGGAGTAATCGAAGTTCCTGTCTAGCAGGTGGAAACTGTAGACGTCATGAAGCCCCAGAAACTTTTAACTGTTTATTCCTCTAAGCCGTCGAGTGGGTTATCAAAATAAGTGCTTACTACTTTGTTCACGTCGGTAAACAATGGGAACTCTTTAAAGGCTTCTGTTACACTCATTAATTGACGCACCTGTGGGTATGCCTCGCCATGGTTAATTCGCTATTGATGAGGATCGAAGAAGACTGTTAGTCATTTGATCTGAAATGGGAACACAAGGAACGAAAATTACAACAGGAACAACTGTATGGGGCCAGATGTCCACAGTTATGATACTTGGACCAAGAAACTCAGAGTTTTTGATGCTTTTCAATTGTGTCGGTTCACTTAAAGCCGAGGATCTGTAGTGGTATCGGTCCTAACCGCACTGTCGAATTATGAATACGTTGGGGACGGAATTAGACCGAATTTATTTTTCGCAAATACTTATGGATAACGTTATGTAGATAGTGTTAGATAAGTGGAAATGTCACCAAAATGTTTAATTTACTCCTAAAGAGCATTTCTCCACACTCCACAAGGGTTCACATTCATGCTGGAAAAAGGATATCTTTCTCGAGAACAAATAGCGGCTACCGTACAAACTAAATCAAATATAATCATTCGAGATAATTACTAGTAACAATGAAAGATAAAATTCAAATCCCCCTTTCAATCGTAGAAAGCCGAACTCTTTAAGCCTAACTCGCATCCAAAGTAAAATACCACCTAAATCCATTAGCTTATGGCTGGGAATTAATGGAATCTTTCCATTAATACTGATGACTGGTCGTATTATCAACCACTACACATATCAGAAGGGATAAAACAAATCTTCACGTTTGTTTGATGAAGCTCTCAGTGGGACACAACAATCTTGTTAGACTTTAGGTCTAAGATCGCTATCGCCCATCTTATCTAAGCTACTATTCCAACAGGTCTGGTATGCCACAGTATAGACCCCAAAATCAAAGAGATTTTGAGTCGCCGGAACCCTCATCAATTTTCTGGTTTAGATAGAATCCAACGTACAATAAATATCAAACTTTTTTCCTCTTGATATGCACTTTAATTGTTCTTTTTTTAAGGGTAGGTAACTTTTTCAATGGTAAAAGGTCTAGTCATATCCCTATACAAAGGTGTTATAAGGTGGAAGAGTCCTATTAGTGACTTATTTCCATTCTCTTCACGATCGTGAAGGTAACGAAAAGAGGAAATGACGAACATTTCTGTAAGTGGCACAACAACTGTATGTTTTCTGAAATTCATGAATGATTACCACAATGCAGATCTTGTAATACAAACTTACAGGCTGCCTAGAATAGTTGAATTCCCTTACTGTGGCCATCTAGATAACTGAAAACTGTTCTGAAGAGTTATTCATTCGATGTGAAACTAAGGGAGTGGATACGTGTTAGAGTTTTCACGATGGTGGGTACCCCTCGTTCTACCAATAGAAGTAACCAGACTAATAGTGAATCGGTCTTTATTTTAAATCTTGATGAGTACAATGGAGCACGAGGTTGTCTTTTCAAACACTGAAGGCTTTTCCAAATTCAATATACAATAATAGGAAATAGAATCCAATTACAAAATAAGGAGGTGAATGAATACCTTAGTTTTAATATTCTGAAGTTTAGCTATATGTTTGTGGTCAACTCTTAACGAATCTACCTAAGTTATTGTATTAGCCTCCTCCTAGAATCGATGTCCATAAGAATATCGGTCAGATCAACCTATCCGGCGATAACATGTCAGCTCGGCTTCCGCAGTCCAAAGGCGAATTGTTAACTCGATCAGTGTTTGACGTCATTTACACTGAGTTCTCAAAAGCTTTTGGTAGGGTCAACCATGTATGTATTATCAACAAGGTAAACGAATATTCTTTTAATTGATTGACCCCCTTCATATCTAAAAAATTGACATTTTAGGGTCGCGATTAACTTCACTTTCTCTCAGGCTATGGAATATCCTAGTGGGGTCCCCCAGAGTTCAGTACAAGGACTTCTCTTCTTGATTTAAATGAACGATCTTCCATAAGTATCGTCTGACTTATTGCATTTTGCTGGTGTGAAACGTTGGAGAGAGATACGCATTCAAGAGGATATACTATCACTTCAGGAGGATCTGACTCGACTTCAAAGTTGATCAGACGACAAGGGACTTACCTTCAACACTTCAAAGTGTAAAGTAGTCCATCTGCGACATGTTGCAGACTATAGTTACAACTTAGGAAACTCCTCTCTAGAAGTACCCTAAGTCGAAAAATATTTAGACGGCTTGAAGTCTTACGCTAACTGTGACAAAAACGCTTTTCGAGCAAACCTTCACTGATAACGTTGAAGCACATTTTTGACCAGTTTGACGGTAGCACTTTCCATATAATCCTCAACAGTTTTATCCGTCCTCACTTAGAGTACTGAAACATAGTATTTCATTACTCACTCCAAAAGCATAAAGACACTCTGAAACGTATCCTACGGCAAACCACGAAATCAGTTCGGGGCCTCCAATCCAAGCGTCATAAAGAGCATCTCTAATCCTTGAACCTTTACCCATTAGAGTAAAGCCATATTAGAGTTGAATTTCTAATGACTTACAGTATCCTTAACACTTCTGGGCATCTCCTTAAATGCCTACTTAGGCTTGGATCCATAACCAACCTTAGTGGTAATACTCAGAAACAGGAAACACAACACACCAGAACAGACTATAGACACACTTACTCCTTAAGAATCATCAAATGTCGGGATTCGCTGCAGGCTGAGCTAGTTCAATGATTTCTCAGGAGTCCTTTAAGAGAAAAATTGACATATTCTTAAGGACTAAGGATAGCATCTTAGTATAACTTACCAATGTCCTTTTATTTTCCTCTTTTACCACAATTATACCTAGATTTTTACTTAAAGTCATAGGTGATCCGCTGCTATTAGATACGCAAGCCAGTTAAGTGAAAGCTTCTTCTAATCCATCCAGAGCCATTTTCAGTTTACGTTTTGAGTTTTGAATTATGAAGGCGGGAGTTCTGACAGTAGCGTTACGTGATGGTTTCAACTGATAGTAAAGCAACAATCTTAAACTATGTCAGGAATTGCTTTGCATCTGGAGATGATTCGGGATTTTGCGAAAAATTACTCAATAAAGTTAAAGATGTCACTGATGAAGAGATTGAGAGCATTTTGAGTGGACAATAGTAAGTTCTAATACTCTATTTTCCGTTTTTAATGATATGATTATGTAAGTTTTAACGAAGTTGTAAATACGGACTCCGACGATTTTTATAGACATTCCCCAGAATGTGCCTTCGTACCTTGTGAAGGTTAGTATAGTTCTCCCCCTTTTATTTCAATCTTCAGACCCGTTAAGTGCGTTTTACTCCTCTATTAATAGCTTTGAGGATTCTCAGCAGTCTTCCCTTTCACATAGAAAGAATGCATCCAATATTCGACAGCTTTCTGGTAAGTTGTCTTCATCGTAACCGGCTTTCCTAGTCTTCAACATTCTAGTCTAAACGGACTAGTTATTTTATTATTCTCCTAGTAAATGAAGTCAAGAATGACGGTTTGTAAGAATTAACTATAGAGAAAAATTATTTATAAGACATAGTAGGGAGTGAGCTGATTTACTCCCCATCAATTTTGTCATGGGTAAACTGAAGAAAAAAATAAGAGAAAGAAACAGGGATTTAAGCGTGTCAGATGTCTAAATGCGGGTAAGTATATTTCTATGGAGCTCGAGCAAAACACAGGAATTTTTAAAGTAGACGGGACTGCAGATTATATATTGTTGTAATCAAACAGTTTGCTAACTCTGAACGTTTTGAGAATTTTACTGCATATTTTGTTAAAGCTGTTTATCATTGGTTTTACAAATCTTCAGATAACCTTCAAGAAAACAAATTTGCTCATGGTCTACAGGCAACACTTTGCATCATTTGTACATATATGTGTATGTAACACGAACTGATCTTAACCAGACTACCACTGAAAGACAAGAAGCATTGAATAGCTGTTTCGTCCCAGTATAGAGCATCTCGGCAGTATGCATTTACAAGTCCGCCACAGGAAGCCAAATCAATGACCTTCGATCTTGCCGTGATCAACAGAGTTCAACCATATCTGGTGCGAAAGTTTTTCATCACCGACAATGAAAGATTGTCGCACTATGTGAATCGGTTGAAGTCAGCTATCTACACAGTTGGATTTCGTCCTAGTGGCTTAGATGTTAAGCGTTCTGGCTTCGATTATGTATCAGAATTGTGAACGCTCACTGTCGAATGGTCATGCAATAGACGAAACAGCCGTCTATTGCTTTCTGATTTCCAGTGATAGTCTAACTAAGATCAGTTATTTAAACTGAAATTGCTACAAACTTCACATAATATATATTACAGATTAATCTTAATCATTGTGAACTAGCCCAAGAAATATAGTCTTCACACTAATCGCTCATATACCTAGTTTATAGTCGACATAATTTCAATGCTGTTGTGGTTGCTCATTAACTTCAGATAGTTCTAAAGAGTATAGTTAGACATTTTGTTCTATCACCTTCCATAAGTGACCAGTTTTTTAAACAAGTTAACTTGTTATACTATCCGAAGTTATTTAAGCGAGACTATAATTTCTGGACGAATAAATCAAATTTAGGATAACAGATCTTGGATTTTGGTACGAAATTCATTCATGTAAAAGAGGGTAAAAGAGCCCTTTGAGCCATAATAAACCCTGGGAAGCTACGAACTAAAGCATTCTTGTACGTAGTATATTACCCTCCTCAAATAAAAACACAACTAGTTATTTGTCCAGGGTTTGTTGTTTGCCCCGAGAAACACGTCCAACAATAGATTTTAAAACATCATACAATATAGAAATTTAGCCTAGGAAACTTCCCCTTTATAAATATTTGTATCCTTTCAGTAGTCCAGACCTTACGAATACAAGATTGCCTCTTCGTTACTGAAAGGGGAATTTTTCATCCCAAGCTGTGTTTGGCCTAGTTGTATTCTGAAAATATTTTTGTTCATTCATCTTGATGAGAACTGTAATAACTCCGTCTTCTACACCTGTTCTCTGCGATCGCGTTAATTTAAAAAACTAGGTTTACTGATAGTTGTTTAAATACGGCCAAAGTGATCATTTAGGCTTATAAGTTCGACGCTCAGCTGGATGTTAGGGATCTTGCCTACAGTTCAAGTTAAGTGAATAGAATATCGTCCCTATAAATCAGTCATGTCAAAAATGTATGGATCCCAGCTTCCCATTATTTACTGAGCGACTGCTATAATTGTTTTTTTGCTAATAAACGACCCAGCTATTCTTATTGCTTAGTATTCTTATGCAACGACACTCGACAAGACCCCAAAATCAGAACACTTTGAACAGGAATAAAATTGTATTCACAAATAATAATGGTATGTGAACAACAATCACTAGTTTGAATAACGTTCATATATTTATAGTATATACATAAGAAGCTTCTAGATTTTGCCCGGGTTGATCGGTTTAGAATTAGCCAATCAGCGCGCAGCAACACCATCATGCATAAAACATGCTTTAATCCAATCTATGTCCCACTAACAGCGACTTATTTAAAAAATTCTGCATTATTTCCACTAACACAAATGGGTTGTGATAGATTTTACCGTTACTAACTTTCACAATAAAAAGTTTTCAGAAAGTAGCTATTCTTATTTCAGCTCTTAATGGTGAATAAATCATCCTAATACACAGACTTTTACTGCCTCTATTATTGTGTCTATTGTTTAGCTGAGGAAGTGGACAAGTATTTTCCATCAAAACCGATAGTCCGCACAAACAAACCGGATACAGCATTAAAATCAGAAAAGTCTGGGTTGACATTGGCACTAGAACAAGCTAAGCTAAGTGGACATTTAAAAAGAAATAAACTATTTTCTGATTTTGCTATCTACGATGCTCGGTCAACACTTGGTACAAATCAGCGTGTTCCAGATAGTCGCTTTCCTGATGCAAACGTAGATCCTTCTCTGCGTCAGTTCAATGTTTGGCTCTGGAGGCTTAGGGGCTTCCCGCGCACGTCAATTACAGTGCAACCACGACTGGGTACTACAGTACAACAGTTCATGGGTCTCACTTTATGGCAGTACTTTAATGAGTTTTCAACATCTGATGGTGATTCTACACTTGCCCCAACTCAGTTAGATGATCTAGACGAGTAAGTTTTAAACATTACTATTGAATTCATGTCAGTGAGTCTAGCTGCATGCATGGCTTTTTTTAAACCCTGATTATGTGTTATGTTTATCCCATTTAACTCCATACGACTACATATATGCGAATTTTTGAAACATCACACTAGTTTGTTTTTATTTACAGGATATACGGCAGGGGAATATCAAGATAGTGATTAGCTGACGGATAATTCTATTGCTCGTAAAAATAATCTATGAGATCGCAAGCAGACTATTAAGACCAATGACAGAAAGAGCAGCCAACAAAATCTTTACAAACACTATTTGTAACGCAAAATAGACAGCAACAAAAAAATCTGGTCAATTATCTTTCGTTTACAAGGTAAATTGTGGCAACTATGAGGAATCTCATTTAATGAAACTGGAGGTTTCGATCTTTGTGCACGTGAAAATCAACAAGCTGTTAAACACAGCGACTTACATTCACTCCCATAAATACATAGAGACAACTAAGGGGATAATTTTTATTGAAAAGGGTCACAACACTCAGCCAGTCAGCTACAACGTAGGAACAGGCACATATATGTTTCGATCCAAGTTGTCACGCCTCATTAGCACGACAAGATGAACACCGAATTCACAGAAGCAAAACAATTTTAATCTTACTCTTTAAGGGAACACAAAAAGTGTATACACCTACGCCATTCTGATCGATTCTGGGCCATGTCACACAGAGTCTCCAACTATTGGTTACGATAGTCACGCGGACCTCAACCAAGTAGTCTGCATCTACCAACATGAATCAGACCAGAAGTTAGTAACTCCAAGCACTGATGCCACGTTTTGGTCTTGCCGCCCCTAACTTTCTTCCAATCGTCTCCAATACTAGTCAGCATTGCGCGTCGTGGTAATTGGTATTCAGGCCTACTTAACATTCGGTCCAACCATTTCAGCCGATGAAGATTCACTGCGTCATCAACTGATTCACCATCATTCCCTAATACCCTGCATCTAGCTTCACTAGTGATCCCAGCAGATGCGAGCCATATTTCTAAGGCATCTATGACCAAATACTAGTAACTTACGAGTGTCTTCACTCTTAATAGCCACGTTCCACAACCGTAAAGTAGAACAGAACTAACTGCTGCGCAGTATACTCCTCCCTTAATTGATAGACGAATATCTCGTCTTCGCCACAGGTGACGTAAGTTGGCAAAAGCCAAACGAGCTTTTTGAATCCGTTCAGAGGTTTCGTCAGACACCAACCCATTAGGGCTGATTAGACTTCCAAGATAAGTGAAGTTGTCGACGCGTTCGACTACTTCACTCCCTATCCTTAGTTCAGGTATTGACAACACTAAGCAGAGGCATCAGAAAAACTCGAAATTTTTAGAGATATGTCACTCAGCAGCCGGTATACACATTAAAGTAGGTCTAACCAACGAAATAAATAAAAAAATCAAGGAAGAAGGCAATCAACATAAATATGCAAGCAAAATGAACACAGTTATTAACAGCAACTAGTCAACTTCGATATTGGGAGAACAAGTGACTAGTCAACTGCGAAGGATGTTTGGTAGCTGACTTCTTTTTGTGACGCATGTGCTGATGACTCCTGCAAAGGCTTCATAATTAAATCATCTGTCTTAAAGAACACAATACCTATGAAATGAATACTGATATTGGACTATGTTTCGAGTCACTTTAAGTTCGTGAAGACTAGTGATACCGTTGTTCGACTGCTCGAACCTGAGTAGGTGGATTGAGGTTTGGATGTACAACTCAGTGGTTGAACGCTTTAATTACTAAACCCGATGCTCTGAAATCTAGTCTAGAAGTCGTATTCATTTCTTGGTTATCGTTTATTTGCTACTTCTACTACTGTGGGATTCGATATATCAACTTCATGTCTCTGTGTTAATGAATTATAACAACTTAAATAGATATCCGGATGTGCCAGGTTCTACATTTTGTATGACTAACTGACCTCGTATTTTATTTATCGATTTAGATCATTTTTAAACCGTTTGGCTTTACATATGTTTGATACACTGGATGATGAATATGACGATAATGAAGATGTAGATTCAGAATTTCCACCACTTGAATTGAATGACCCAATTCATAAATATGAATTTAAGTCATTTGCTCTGGTTGAACGAGTGCAAACACCATTAGAAGAGGCATCGAAGAAAGAAATTTCGCATGTGTTAGTCACAATGTAAGTGTATGGATGTATGTGTGTATGACTACAATTTTATGTCATATGTTATATAGTGAGAGCTGATAATTTTTGGCAAGCACTTTTATTTTGTTAAAACGATCTACAGAATGTTGATCGATGAATGCTACTTATATTATTTAGTACGAACTGTAAACTAAGCTATAATCTATAGTATTATTGTTCTAATCAAAATATCTGATTGTTACTATTCATTGTGGTGACTGATATGATTATTTAAATCTCCCCTCGGTGTTATATCGTTATATCGCGGACGTACCCTGTTTGATATATGAACGTGCTGATTCCCACCAATGAGAGAGGAGTAAGATTATCGATCAGAGCAATGATACACAAAATCGTATTGAGCAGTCTCGAGTACTTATCAGTCCTGCTTTCTGCCTAGTCCAGCCAGTTAAGTTCAGAACACCAATAACAGCTTCTGCAATATGATTAATTATTCTCAAACATACTGGGTTTATATACCAATCAAACGGACCACATCGTACCATAAAATAGAAAATAACATGTGTACAAGATTTGGCCTAATGTGGCTGTGATTAGGGGGAACAGTAATCAATAGACTGTAGATAACTCAGGAATGGTAAATTGTATAGTAATAGTCTATAAGTCAAAACAAAGCTTATAATAAGAGGAACATGAATATGAATAGTTAAGTTACTTAGCAATTATACAATAGGAAATATACATATTACATTGGTCCATAAATAGTCCTCAAAAGTTACCATTCACAATTCTATTCGGGATATAACACTCGGACTAACCGGAATTTGCTTCCAGTTAATGGGATATTTAATCCTCAAAATGTTTTACGTGTTTAGAAATGTTATGAGACTGTATTGGTATCGTTATGAAATTATATATGCCACACAAAATGAAATGATAATATTATGAATCATTAGTATGGTTAAAGGTTGTATAGTTGGAAATAAATGAACAGAAACAGTATATAGGTCAGTCTTTAAAATACAACTGGGATAGGTCTCATTGAAATGGGAATGTTCATCTAACTGTCATGGGGAATTTATTAGAATACTACTTCAATGTCCCCATCGGCTTCTATCCTAAACCATGTCTGATAGTGTCCGGAGTTGCATGGTTTGTAAGGATGCAACTAAAGCACTGTGATGTACCAGCAAACCCTAACCCTATCCAGTTTTCTTTTCTACTACAGCGTCATATCCGACTTGATAACTATGTACATCTCTCTCTTGAGACACCGGATTTCATTTTTTGCTGGTCGTGATATTTTGGCAAGTCGTTTAGTTACTGACTAAAACAAGATATTGTGTTACATTCCGAGATTGTTCGTTTAAATTTTGCCTCAGTCGTAATAGTTATGTTTGAAAAGACCAATGATAACCAATATATACATATAATTATAGCTGATGTTTTCTGTAGAATTAGTTTAGATATAAATATTCTTTTTATTTGACTCAAACATTGTAATTTTGTTAATCAAATTTTCAACAATTCCCTTGCCCTACATATATAGACATATGGCTCAAGGTATGAGTGTACTTCGATTCCCATCGGATACTTGTTTAAGTACAGTGTTAGAACGTGCTGTATATCGTCGTCGTCTACGCCAGCATGGTGGTTATGCTTATAGATTGGAACTTTGGCCACGAAACACAGATCAACAGAACAACAATATAAAAAGCAATAATATTCTATTGAATAAAAATTCTCAGTTAGATTTAAGTAAACCATTAAGTTATTTTATTGCTGCTGGTTTGCCGTTACACTTTCTTCTTGTTCGTGAAAGCAGTAAGTGTCAACTATTTGGAAGATGTCAGTCTTTCTGTTGTAATTTTACTGTCTGGTATTTCTTGAGCATAATACTTCTCAATTAGTCCTAGAACAGAACAAAAGTCAGAAGCGGATAACATTATACCTCGAAAATTCCAACAACAAAAGTAACAAAGTAAAAACGTTAAAGTTGATACACATTTTACTTAAAAATCCTCCCTTGATTTCTTATTCTATTTAGTCCTGACTGGTTGGAAAGCAGACCGATCAGTGTACTTGACTTAAATGTGCAATAGTCAAGACCATATCCTGCAAACGATTTCCGCTTGTCTTTTTGTTAGTAAGAAAGAAGTGCTGAGCAGGTCTATATGGATCCCTGTAGTTTGTAGTATTTTAAAAATATTTCAACGTCAAGCCGACAGACGAATTCATTCCGACCTCTAGAACTTGTTTTGGGCTACATCACACATACCGTTTTCAACCATAGGTGGGTTTTAGTCGTTAAATTGTAAACTGTCACCGGTCAGACCCAAAATCTAGTAACTTTATGAACTACTGACCCTATAATTTTGTCTCAAGCTTCCTTCTAACCTACTCGTACGTTATTCATCATTACGCTTCCATTAGAAATTATGGCTTGGCCTGTGTAATGCAGACACAGCACAATAATGTTTTCAGTTCAAACAGGCCACATTCTCAATAGCAGTGTATGTGATATTCGTTGATTATCTAGACCAAATCAACAGCAGTTCTAGTAGAGACTTCCAAAATTATTTTAACTTAAAAACATCTAAGGTTTCAAATGGTTAAAAAATGATTTAACTCTAGAGAAAGCCAGTTAGGTCGTTGCTCATTTTTGTCAGTTCCTACGTTATTTTATAAATTGCTGACTAGTTTGTGAGTTATATTAGTTCAAATTAAATTGTAATTAGTAGAGTCTAGGTTACTGGCCTTTAATCCCTTGTCTGCTGAACTGTTATATAAACTCAGATGTCAGCACCTGAACTAAGGATATGGAGTGAAGTAGTCGAACGAGTCGACAACTTCACTTATCTTGGAAGTCTAATCAGCCCTAATGGGTTAGTGTCTGACGAAACCTCTGAACGGATTCAAAAAGCTCGTTTGGCTTTTGCCAACTTACGTCACCTATGGCGAAGGCGAGATATCCGTCTATCAAGTAAAGCAGACTACTTGGTTGGGGTCCGCGTGACTATCGTAACCAATAGTTGGAGACTCTGTGTGACATGGCTCAGAATCGATGACAATAGCGTAGATGTATACACTCTTTGTCTTCCCTTAAACCTTGAGATTAAGATTGCTTCATAACTTTCTTCCTTCCTGTACTATATCCTTATATGCAACCTTTCTTTTATAAATTACCACCACCAAATTAACTACTTCTATGAATCCTGTGTTGATCTTGTTGTGCTAACGAGGTATGGCAACTTGGACCGATGCATAAATGTGCCTGGTCCTACGTTGTAGTTGACTGACTGACTGACTATATAAACTCAACTCTAAATTATCTTGAAGCATAATGATGTGTTAAAATACAAAGTGCCTTCATCTTTTTCATGCAACTGTAGACTGTTTCATCATTTACTTGATTATTGTAAAATCCAGAACTAATGATTAACAGTTCAATCTCATAATGTCTTAGCTAGTGGGAATTATTAGTTGCAAGACCAAGTATTCTGTATGTCTATCATTCAGACCCCACCTAATATAGCCCCAGTATTCTTCCACCTTGAATTTTCATTACTGTAACAACGTACACGTCTTTTCTCTCTCGTATTTGTTTGTTTGTTTTAACTTAGGTCGGTGTGATACAGCTCTTTCAGATCAAAACGATGATATTGAAGCAACAAAGCCATTAGAATCAATGTTAGCATTAGATACAACATTAGAACCAGTTCATACAGCATTACATTTAAGACAATATCAAGTGACTTATTTAAAAGGTCTTTTTCCACCTGAAGTTCAGCTAAGTATGTTATTTCTTACTTAATCGTCAAATTATTGTGATTTTTGTGTGTGACTGTTATTATTAGATTTAATTAGTTAATTGTACTTGGCATTTAGAGACTTTTGGCCTAGATTTCATCGAACAGTTACCCCCTTACATTCTTCCATACCACCCAGGTCATTTTTTTAGTGCTCTATTTTTATTAGTTCTATTCTCAAACATTTAATGGTACCGGCAAATCTCAGCGTTCCTGCATCTACTGTTAGACCTAATTTTCACATTTCTATGTACATTGTGATAATATTACCATGTCAGTGAGCATTTCTGTAATTTATCACGTTTAAGCATCGAGTGCAAAATCTCTTTTCCAAATTGTTTACTCCATTTGTCGTTTGTGTTTTTCTTTTTGATGGTACTATTCGAGTTATCTTGTGTGCGTTCTTATATGTGATCTGCAGTCTCAGTTAATCTATCGATTCCAACCTTTCATTGACAGAAAAAGGTTATTTTATCATTTTCATTTGAGGTTGGTATCATGGTATACATAATTTTATCACTACCACTCCTATAGTTTCATATTCAGTTAGATTTTTTTCTGTCATTTAAAAGCTGACATAAGCAATCTGTAGGTGAAAGTTATCTCTATATATTTGTGTGTAATACTATTTCATTATTGAAAATGCTCTTCATTTCTAATGAAAACAAGACCCCTTTCATCATCAACTCATCATCATAATTAACATAGGGGGTTTGTGAAGATTGTTAACTTCAATCGTTTTCACAGACTAACCTTGAAAAACCACCAAATAGTGGCCAGATATTTCGTTTCAATATGAGATTCCTCGGCAATGCTCATCCACAACTTCACGTCATGTGAAACTGAGTGAAACTGTTTAGCACCTAGCTTAAGTTAGCATCCAATGATTTACATGTCCAACTTCAATTAATTCACAATCTTGTACAACCATCTTCATATGTCATTAGTAGGCAATCACCTTACATCTGACATGGTTGAACTCAACTGAATACGATCTCTCACTTACAGCTCCAGGAACTGTCTCTTGTAATTACTCAATAATGAGCACATTATTATTAACAAAGTAGAGCGTTTATGAAGAATGTTGGTTTTTATTGTTTACTTCATGAATTCATCATAGTTCATTAGGTAGGTGTTTACCACTATACAAATATTCAATATTTGCTTCCCCCAAATGCCCTGGTACGGACGAGGGTGTGAAGGGTCCGCTCTCCCCCTCGAAATGCTATCACATGGTCACGCGTTTATAGCCTCTGCCAGGAAAGTCCTACTCACTGCCTTCTCGTGGCGGGATGGGGTGTTGTTCACGAAAGTGAGAGAACGAAAAGCGAATGTCCAGCTCTTTAACTGCGTTAGTGGACACGGAAAGTCCACCTATGTGAGTTGGGAAACCCTGATTCCAAATCAATGCTGTACATGGGCTCCAGTATCCTGAGGAAACAAATGGTGTATGAATCAATCGTTGATCAGCGGTTACCATGGGACTGCATCTCCTCACGATGCTCCATTGCCTTTGTAGATCAGACCTTTGGGTCAAAGGCTCCGGGTGTGGCCCACTAAGAAAACCACTTGATTCAGTTTGGGCACCCGGGTAGTATCACGGCCTTCAAACAAATCAAATAAGATTTGTGTGGCGCATATATATCTGGTGCTATTTTGTACCAATATTTATGTGTTTAAATAAGTAAATATACAATATTTGCTTACCTACAATGATGATTTAATTAGCAACAATGTAAACTATCATCGTAACTCTACAATTTGTCTATTATCTCCTTTTTTTTCTCTCTCTCTCTCTCTCTCACTATTTTGATTACGTAATAGATATTTCACCAAATGAATTAAAAATTGAACAAAAACGTCCAAAATTATTCTCCAAATTAATGAAACCAATCATTATACAAATTAATGCAATTGCTGATTGTGAATTAATCACTTCAGGATATTCAACATGTGGAATAATGGATAAGCCATCTATAATAACCAATACTACTACTACTACTACTAATACTACTAACAATAATAATAGTAGTATTAATGAATCCAATCAAAAATTTTCTTCCGTAAATAAAACTGATAATTTATCTACTGATTATATAATAAAGGGGAATCATAAAACATTCAATAAACATCATATAACAACTGAACAATCTTCCAAATCATTTGTATCACATAAAACACAATTTAGAATTGTTTATATTGTAAGTGTGTGTGTGTGTTTGTGGGGGGGGGGCGAAATTAAATTTTATCATATATTTACTATTATCAGAAGAAGGGGGGGGGGCGGTGTTTGTGGAGATTTTAACAATTTTATAATTAAATTTATGAGTTATTTAAAGGTAGACTATTATGGAAAACCTTGGAAGCACTAGATGATCGCGGTATCATGAATAATCACAATGCTGAGGAATCCCATATTAGGACGAAACGGTCGTCTAGTGCTTTCAGATTTACCATAATGGTCTAGCTTTAATCAACTCATTAATTCAACTGTAAAATATATTTAATAATTAATTTAATCCCTTCGATAAATTTGATTGATTCAATAAGAAAATAAATTTTATCTGAAGAACTGATATGATAATATTAACGCTATACATTTTTGAACAATATGAAATCTGTTGTGTTAATATACCACATAGTTCTCGTAAAATATATCTTCTTATTATATTATTCATATGAAAGCCCCCAAATGCCCTGGTACGGCCGAGAGTGGGAAGAATCCGCTCTCGCTCTCGAAATGCTCTCACATGGCCAGCGAATATATAGCCTCTGATAGGGAAGTCCTACTCACTGCCTTCTCGTGGCGGGGGTGTTGTTTACGAAACTGAGAGGACAAAAAGCGAATGTCCGGCGCTATAACCGGATTGGTGGACACGGAGGGTCCACCTAGGAGAGTTGGAAAACCCTGATTCCAAACCAATGGTGCACATGGGCTCCAGTATCCTGATGGAAGGAATGGCGGAAGAACCTGTCATTGGTCAACGGCTACCATGGGACTGCATCTCCTCACGATGCTCCACTGCCTTGTGGATCAGACCTTTAGGTCAAAGGCTCGGGGTGTGGTCCCCTAAGAAAACCACGTGCTTCGGTCTGCGCACCCGGGCAGTATCACAGCCCTCACACAATTCGAATGAGATTTGTGAGGCGCATATATATATCTGGTGCCTCCTTGTACCAATATTTATGTGTTCAAATAAATAAATAGATAGTACTATGGATAGTTACTTACTTACGCCTGTTACCCCTCGTGGAAGAGGAGCATAGGCTGCACACCAGTTTTCTCCATCCAACCCTGTCCTGGGCAATCTTTTCCAGTTCACATTCATCCTTTTCATATCTGTTTCAATTTCCCGACGTGATGCGTTCTTTGGCTTTCCTCTTTCCCGCTTCCCTTCCGGATTTCAAGTTATTGCTTACCTCGTGATGCAGTTTTGTGATTTCCGTAATGTGTGTCCTATCCACTTCCAACGTCTTTTCCGAATTACTTCAGCTGGAATTTGCTGGTTTGTCCTCTCCCATAAAACGCTGTTTTCTAAAATCACTACATAAGCGTAAACAAACGCATCTTTCATTTCTATGGTCGCTTTAATGGTTCTGTTAAAATAATGTTATATCTGCATATGGTTGATAATCTTTATTTTAATGATCTGTTTAGTGGAGAACATTAACGATGTACTGCTACTTTCTTGTCTAAGATCGGATCTATACTACATAAATTGCTCATTGAATCAATTGATGATCAGTGTTTACTAACTTAACTACGTAATATGTCCCTGGTGTGAGATCTTGACTATAAAGTATTGTAGACTTTATTACTGTTGGATATTTGTGAGTGAATGGCGTTGATTACTATCGAATCTACTTGAAAAAGATTGGTATTAATGACATTTTCAACCCGAAAACGTAACCATCCATTTTAAAATTTATTTATTTATTTGAACACATAAATATTGGTACAAAATAGCACCAGATATATATGCGCCACACAAATCTTATTTGATTTGTTTGAAGGCCGTGATACTACCCGGGTGCCCAAACTGAATCAAGTGGTTTTCTTAGTGGGCCACACCCGGAGCCTTTGACTCAAAGGTCTGATCCACAAAGGCAATGGAGCATCGTGAGGAGATGCAGTCCCATGGTAACCGCTGATCAACGATTGATTCATACACCATTTGTTTCCTCAGGATACTGGAGCCCATGTACAGCATTGATTTGGAATCAGGGTTTCCCAACTCACATAGGTGGACTTTCCGTGTCCACTAACGCAGTTAAAGAGCTGGACATTCGCTTTTCGTTCTCTCACTTTCGTGAACAACACCCCATCCCGCCACGAGAAGGCTGTGAGTGGGATGAGATTACAAATCCCAATCAACATTTGGTTGCTATAATCGTTTATTGATAATATGAATTCTTAAATTGGTAATAAGAAGCTGTATGAAGTCAACATTGTTAACAATAAGATGTCTATTTTCTCGATGTTATCTATCTCTGATTGAAACTATTCACAATGAATTGGATCATTACGATAAAGTACTTCTACTAATCAAGATACCTTGGATACTACCATTATCCTAATTCGTTAATTGCTAATTTTATTTCCAATCATCTGAAGGTTTTTAAAGATCCAAACTTGCATATCCTATAAGTCCCTACGTTTTTTATAATATGAACTAACTTTAAAAATAATGCTTCTTCCATACTTCCAACACTTTTGTATTCCATTCAAGGTTTAGGAGTAGAAGGTTTCTAGATACTACGAATATCGACCGTTGCTGCTACCTTGACGTGGTGATCGGGCTTACCTATCGTGATGAACCAATCGAGCTATACTGGCTGGAACAATCGTTCCTCAAGGTCCTACCATGTCAGACAGGTCGATTAACGAGCGGTAAGACTAAAAGCAGCAATCTCAAGGTCTGAAGGCGAAGTCGTACTGCCGATTGTACAGAGGTGTGACGGCAGTAAGTTGTTTCCTTCAGACAACCAGCGATTAGAAAGTTCGATTTCAAGGCTCATTTTCGTATGTCTACGGTAGAGTTTTAATTTTCTTTTACTAATTAATCTTCTAACCACTAATTCAATTGGATATCAACTGTTTAATATAATGATCCATTTACTTTTGTTTTCCATCTTTCTCTATTCTTTTTTATTGTTGTTTACAAATCAAATAGCCTAATTTTGATTCACATACCGATTGGATAACTTCACAATTGACTACTTCTATTGGTATTGGTGGATGTGGACGATCAACTGCTACTAATGACCAACAACAGCCTCATATTCTTCTGCCACCATCTTCTACATCAAATATTGTAACTTGTTTTGGACAAGATTTACCTGAGGTCACAACTACTAACATGTTCAATAGTACTGATGCTAATTGTAATACTAATATTGCTATGAATGTAAATACAACCACTTCGAATATGTCAACTACTAATATTACTACTTCTACTTCTACTAATAATACTACTGTTATCAATAACAGTAATAATAATAATAACAATAGTAGTTTATTTCATCAATTATGTTTTGAAACACAATGGTCACGAGCTAGAGCTATATGTGATCAATTGAATATTATATTAGAGGTATGTCAAAGTCAATCACGTCAATTGTACATGAAACAAAGATCCATTCATTATTGAAGGGAATATATCTATATACATAGACCCTCACCTTGTAAATTAATTTGGATTATTTGAATCTATTTTTTTCATATCAAATTTCTTTTCACATTTAACTTCTTGTATCTATGTGTGATTGTTTGTTGTCTTGTGTGTGTGTGTGTGCGTGTATAGGATATTTGATTGACAAGGGATTAAACTCTATGACTGTATAATTTCTAACTTGATTTTCATATAAATCTTAACTCCATCAACCATTCTGTCTTCTTCTTCTTCCTAGATTGTGTTGATTAGATGACTTTTATGGTAGCATTGCAACTCATTGTCTATTCGTGAGACTAGAATTACCTTATTGAAATCCTAGACTGATCTAAGTTAAACCACCATTAAAAACCCGGTGCTACGTTTGAAGAGATTAGGATATCACTTAAACTAGCGAATGGAACGAAAGTCAGCAATACAACAACAGATCAACTTAGTCTGATTAACTGTGCTCCAACCCCACTAACTAGAGGGAAAAGACAAGGAAAAAATATATGTTCCACAAGCAGTCGGGAGGACGGACGAACAAACACACAACTCATTCGTATTAATACAGTACAAAGATGTCCTTGGAAACGACGCAAGATATCGTACTGAAAGAGGAAATGGACCTATGATATTTAAAGTCCTTTCAGGTGTGAAATACAAATCGAAGGTGAAAATGAGTGCTTTTGAAGCGATAATGAAGAATTTGATTTCCCGTAACGAAATTACAAAAATAGGACATTTACCAAGTGATTTCTGGGAATCTAGCATCCCGAACACCTGAGGAGTGGGGAGAGTAGACAGCCTTGTCTGACTCCGGTCCCTACTGGAAATGCATCTGTCATCTGTCCTCCATGCACAACTTTGCTCTGTGGTCCGTCGTATGAGTTCTGGATAATGTTGACAGTATTTTCAGGAACTCCATAGTGTCGAAGAAGTTTCCATAATATTCTCCGGTTCACATTGTCAAACACCTCACAGTCGATGAAGTTGATGTATATTGACGAGTTCCACTCAATTGATTGTTCAACGATGATCCGTAGTGTCGTAATTTGGTTTGTGCACGACCGATCCTTACGGAATCCAGCCTGTTGATCTCTAAGTTGGGCGTCTACTGCATCTTTCATGCTGTTCAGCAACACTGTTGAAAACGTTTCCAAGTACTGACAACAGTGTAATGCCTCTGTAATTATCACATATGCTCAGAAGTCCTTCCTTTGGTATCTTGATGAGGTATCCTTCTGTCCAGTCCGTTGGCACTTGTTCCTCTTCCCAAATCTTCTTGCACAGAAGGTGAAGCATGTTTGCAGTTACTTTAATGTTTGATTTCATTGCTTAAGGTAGTACATTGTCAGGTCCTGCTGCTTTCCCATTCTGGATTTTTCTGATGTCCTTGATTTCTTCGATCGTTTAAGGATTGATATATATAGGAGGGTTTGTGTATGCTGCTTCGATGTCCGGTGGATTCAATGGAGCCGGTTTGTTCAGCAGTTCCTCGAAGTATTCTACCCATCTGTTCCTCGGTTCTTGAGTCTCCGTGATTGTTTTTCTTTCCTTGTGCTTGATGGGTCTATCTGGTTTACTATATCTCCCTGCTAGTTTCTTCGATGTGTCATATAGTCGTTTCATATTTCCTTCTCTTGCAGCCTTCTCCGCTGACTTTTCTAGTTCTTCCATGTATTTCTGCTTGTCGGTTTTAATGGTCATCTCCACTTGCTTGTTTGCTTCTGAGTATTCTGCTTGTGCTTTGACTTTCTCTGCTCGTGTTCGACTATCGCTAATTGCTGTGTTTTTGTTCTTCCGTTCTTACATTTTGTCCAGGGTTTTCCTAGAGATCCTTTCCTTATGATAATGCTTCTTGAGACTCATAACCTCCTGACACGTTGAAGTTAATGCTCCTTTGATCCCTTTCCAGTTGTCCTCCATCGTAGTTTCGTGTTCTTTCAGTAAATCCTGTAAAACTTGGAACATGTTGTTGAGAGTTATGTTGAATTCGTTGAGCTTCTCAGTATCTCAAAAGAAGGCTGTATTGAACCTTTGTAATGCTGTTTATCCAGTTGTCCAGTGTTTCTTTAGTTTCAGTTTCATCTTGGCTACAACCAGGTGGTGATCTGAAACTATGTCAGCTCCTCTCCTGGTTCTCACATCTTCTATTGTCCTTCGGAACATTTTGTTGATACAGATGTGATCTATCTGGTTGTCTGTGGTTTGGTCCGGCGAGATCCATGTAGCTTTGTGTATGCGTTTGTGCGGAAATATTGTGCCGCATATAACCGATTTGTTGAATGCACATTGATTTGCAAATCTCTCCTCATTTTCATTTCTCTCTCCTAGTCCATGTCGTCCCATTATATCTTAATATCCTGTGTTGTCCACTTCGAATTTAGAATTTAGATCTCCCGTCAGGATTGTGAGGTCTTTCCTTGAACACTTCGCTATGATTGATTGGAGCCTCGAGTAGAACTGATCTTTATCATCGTCGTTACTATCATTGGTTGGTGTATAACACTGGATAAAATTCACTGTAATTCTGTCCTTTGCTTTGAATGATGTTTTGATGATTCTGGATCCATGAGGTTCCCATCCTATAAGTGCATTTCGTGCTTCTCTGGACAGCACTAGAGCAATTCCCTCAGTGTGTGGAGCATTTTCCTCTTCGTGACTGGAGTACATTAGCATCTCTCTAGTATCTAGCCTTTGTTGTCCAGCTTGTGTCCTATGGGTTTCGCTAATTCCGAGTACTGTCAATTTGTATCTCCTCATTTCCATTGCTATTTGATTGGTCTTCCCGGTCTTCCACATTGTTCACTCACAAGTTATAACAGTACCTATAAAGAGTGTTGCTCTGGTTGTTAAAAGGTGCATCGGTCTTGTGACTTCCTAAGAATTTCGGCTTTCATAATGAGACGTCATAATTATTCCTTCAACTCCCAGGGCATAGTTTAAATGGTTTGAATTATTTTTTCTGGTTAGCGTTTTTTTAGCGTGTTAGTTTTTCTACGGGATGGGGTCGTTAATTCCATGCTCAACCCTTCTCCTTTGCCCAGGCTTGAAGAAGAGCTACAGGCAGAGTTATGAAATTTATACTCTGTATATAAAGAATAGAATATCGTAAATGTTATATGCGTCAATGTTATTCATTCAGAGTATTATCAGCTTTCAAACTCTCTTATTTCCATATGATAAAATTATGAGTTATGAGAAAAATGAGCAGTCGCTAAACTAATTTAGGATCTAAATGTCTTTCTATTCTTTGATTGTAAATGTTTTCAAATTAATGAGTAGTATGCTTGTTTTGTAGATGAAATTCAATATTTTCAGATGATATATGTACAGTTCGTGCCATTAAACCAAAATGAACACAGTCATCCAATACATTAAGTTTACCAAAATATTTGAACATTTCATAATTAAATCAAGTGGAAATATTTCATGTAAGGCATTCAGGAAATTATTGAAGTATTGAAGTAATTTCTTCAAACCCCTAATCTTTTGGATTTCTGATTATACTCTTACCACTTCTACCACTATGGGATTTGAATCGACAACTGCATCTCTGTGCTAATGTGGTATGGCAACTCGAACTGATGTACGTACGTACGAAGTTCTACGTTGTGACTGACTAACTGACTGACTGACTGAAGTATTTTCTGAAGAAAAAAAATAATAAAAATAAACCATAATTATACATTTTAAAAATGTTTGCCTACATTCACAAAATTCAATCGTTTTTTGACAATATTAAATAGAATTTATATAAGTGATAAACTTTGTAAGTACTACTGTAGTAAACAGAATACAGGTGGGGACAATCGGATGTGTTTTAGCATAACATTACAGAATATCTCACTAAAACCTAATTACCATACAGGAAACAGTTAATTTGCAAAATAACAATCAATTGTCTCAGTTTGACTATTCTGCAAATATCTATTCATAATTTACGATTATAATTAATCATGCATTTTTGTACCAACTGTGTGCCGTTCCCATTCTATTCTTATCGATCTTCTACTGAAATACATTCAATAACCGACCATCACCATATACTACTTATGTAGATATCAATAACTCACACCATACTCTCCCCTCCTTTAAAGCATTCGTTCTTGCGGTGGTTCTGCTCGCCGTGAACACTGACATAATATCAATAATCTGTTGTGTTCACTGTAGTACATGATGGTTCTGCGTTTTGATCGTAATTGTGTAGTGAAAGAGAACACATATAGGGATTATCGAATGTTTTGGAACACACAATTACAGATACTCATAGTGAAATCTAAGAATCATATAGTAAATATTTCATTTGCAAACTATCAGTCAATCATCTCAGACTTGATTGTTCCTTCATTTCCACACCAATCATTCTCTTTTCTTTGATCTTTTACCGTCAGATATTTCACTTTCGATTGACGATACATACTACTTATACTTGTCAACATCAGTAGTACACACCACAGTTGTACATTGTTGTAGACTTTGTAGAATAAAACAAAACATTTTTCCAAACTTATAAACCTTCGAATCTCACGGCTAGCACCTGACCCTTAGACCACTGAGTTGAGGATTAGTGGTATAGTTCGCGATATTGTACAACCATCTGGTGGTTGCTTAACTAGTTATTGATGAATGAATCAGTCTGCTTGTACTGTCTTGTTTTCTGTGTATCGTTCCGTTGCTACCAGAAGCTGATAAGAGTATTTCTTAATCATTCCAAACAACTGTATCAGTATTGGTAATCTACAGTCAGCTCAAGTCACAACATTGACAAATTACTCTGTTTCAAGACATTATATAATATATCCCTCCCGCACCCCTTCCAACCATATGGAATGATGAAGCCTAGTAGGCCCTTCTGAAGAAGAGTGCTACAGCACGGCACAACTATCAAGGTGAGATAAATGTTTCTGCACTGCCACTCGGAACCACTACATAACACTCACACAGAACCCTTTTTTTGTCTTTTTTGTTTTTATTTGGGCAGACTTTTTAAAATATTTTACTTCTCTTTTGGAACTCTCAATAGTTATGCACTGACTCCTTGTAGCACTCGTAATCGCTTTTTGGGTATTGGTAGAGTGGGTGATTAAGCCAATCTCCACCACACACGAT